CCTCTCCTTCTCTTTCTCTTCCTCCTCCCTCTTCAATGCTTTCTCATAGAAGAACCGGTACTGCGCTTTCTCTGCCTCAGGGGCAGCGTCCATCTGCAGCTTCCAATCTGCTGCAGATGCCATGATGGAGGATGAGGGTGTCAATAAGTCTCTCAAGAGGGGTCCGTACTTCCTCACTTGCCTGGGACGAACACTCCTCTTCCCTCTCCTCACTCCCTCAAGAGCAACACTCAAAAGCTTGTCTCTTCTCTCTCTCTCTCTCTCTCGTTTGCGACCGTGTAGACGTAGGCATTAATGAACCCAATGAAAGAAACAACTTGAAATCATTCAGAAGAGAAGGTAGAACTCCTAGCCGGAGCGGCAATTCATTTGGACTGGAGAGCAGTCAAAACAGCAAAAAAAAAGGAAAAGATCAGAGAGATCTGATCCAGCCACACAGTCTGGACTGACTACGTATGGGGTCCTCCCAAGCCTAGCCAGCCTCAGCTCCGTGAAAACACAGCAAACCAGATTCAAGATGTACAGCGAAATGCAAGAGAGAATGGAGTGGTGTATAAGGTGCGAGTCAGGCGGCGGACTGTGTGGTAAAGTCTGATAAAACGTCCCAGCGGAGGTCCCCTCCGCAGCGAGTGTTCTGGTCCGAAAGCATAAAGTCCGTATTCCAATCAGATAGAGCAAGGTAACTGACGTCAACAGATTTGGCCTGAGGGGCCCTTCTTGTTTGGGCCCGGTCCCACTGGGTCCCAAGTGGTCCCAGTGGAGTCAGAACCGGGTCCCAACCAACAAGAGTTCCATAGAGACCTACTCTGTCTCTATTGAATTGAAAAACGAAATTTTGCCCCAGAAAGAACCTGTAGACTACAGCCGTTCAGATGAACTAGACAAAGCACTGTAGAGAGAGATCACATGGCAAACAAGATACTCCATTCATTCACTCGTCAGGTAGTAGGCAGTTCACACACCTCACACACAATCAAGACTATGGAGGATGGAAGAAGAACCCAGAGAACCCCAACAGGCAGTCAATTCCATGCACACACACATGGGCACCCTGGTGGCACGACACTTACCTGAGTGGCCGGGCTCTTGAGATGAAAGAACTCACCCCCCTCTCGCATAGTCCCCCTGACCCAATTAGCATCCTCTATACTAGTGTCCTATCATCTAGGAGGGTCACCATCTACCCCAAAGTACAAAGCCGGATCTCCCGTCAATGTTGAAGATCAAAGCAGCAACTTGCAGTCCGTGGGTGCAGATATGGCTGCCACCCTCAAGCTCGCTTACTTGAGGGGAGCCCTAAAGTCACTCCTCGTCTTCCCTGAAGTCCAGATTCAAGTTGTAGGTGCCCTTCACTGTCGCCTCTCTCAAATTGCATCACGAAGTCCCACCTTGTGTCTCGCCACCACAAATATGCACTCAAGCAACCTGGCCGGGCCTAGTGTCGACCCTACACGGCCCTGCCAGGTGGGAGCAGCTTCCCTTTACCACACTGCCCCACTTAACCCTAACTTCCAGCCCTAACCCTAAGTGGTAGCCCTTACCATTAGGGTTAGGGTTATGGCAGCAAAGTCAACTCTCGCCAACAAGTAGAATCCGCTCTGATACCAATGTTACGATCCTGGCCAATTTTGAAGTCCACAATGATCAGAAAGTACAATGTTGTCCAATTGTGAAAAGAAATGAATGAACTTTGAGCCCAATGCCGTCCAATTGCAAAAGAAATGAAAGAACTTGAGAGGAGAGAGAGGGAAAGAAGAAGAAGAAGAATTAAGAAAGAAAAAAGAGATGATGTACTCCAGCATAGACCAAAGACAAAGCTCTTCTTCTTCGCTCAACAACCTCCTCCTCTTTATCTCCTCCTCTCTTATTCAAACAATAAATAAACAATAATAATGTTGAACAGCTGAACCAGAATCAATGTCCGAATCCCACTTCTACTGCAGGCACAAGATGAGGTCCACCATAGCCATGGNAGATGAGGTCCACCATAGCCATGGCAGCCCTTCTTCTTCCTCCACATACAGGCCGAGGCTATGGCGGACTACTGAGGTTTCAACCTCCGGTACAAAGGACAACCCCAAGCAGCTACACCGCTGCCTTYCTTCAAGGTYATCACMCAGCAGCTATACCGCTRCCCACTCAACCGCCATGCCTGACTCTGTCCGAGCTTCCTTGATGCGGCACTCCCCCCACTGGGGCCTTCCTGATGCAGCGCCTAGCAAGGAGATGAAGATGGTGTCTACCATAGCCAGGTAAGTACCCTATCACTCTCCTCGTTGGTCCCCTTCTCCCTCCTCCTCCTACCGGCTGAGCTCCACCATAGTCAAGGTGGAGGCTCCCGGCTTCAGCGCTGTAGAGCCCAGCGCTCCTCCACCTCGCGCTCCAGCAGCGTGACGCCCAACTCGCACACTGAAGAATGAGGCGGAGCTCTTGCCTCCCCCTCTAGATATAGCGGCCTGCTTGCCTCTTGGCCGGTGACTTCCAGGCCGCTCGGCCTCCCAAGCAACCGGTACCTCCTTCGTTTCGGAGGGAAACATCATTGCAGACTCTGATATTGCCCGTGCAGGCTCTAGACTCAGAGTGGTTGGACTGGTACCGGCCTAGACCTACCCTACCGCTACTGGGCCTCTAAAAATGCCAACTTCGTCTTTTTCTGCTCGGCCTCCAGTACCCCTCACGCCAACTGCAGTGGGGTGCAGTATCGGCCTACCGGCCTACTTGAGTGTTTTTCCGCTGCCCCAAGGGCCTCAGGGCCGCTAGCTTCGCCATTTCCTGCTACATCCCTCAATGCCACGGCCACAGGTAAGTACCGGCCCTACGGGCCTACCAAACAAGCAAGTACCCTTGCGGGTCCCACACACACTCGCACCAACAAGCACTCAGACAGGCATGCAGGTCACAAGCACGCACACACAGACAGACTTAGAAAACACAGCAGAATGCGGGAATCTCAGCAAAGCATCCATTCCATCGGCAAAACTTCAGAAATCAGCAGTGTTCTCAGTCTGTGTTTTGACGGGTCATTACAGAGGACATAAATTGGGAAATCGATGTCATTGTGCTCATGTTTTTCGCTGGTCAAGGATCAGGCCATGAGGCTGACGCTAGAAAGTAATCATTTGGAGAATTGGAACACAACAGAATGAAGTTCAATGAACCTTATGGAAGGATCCTTTTCCTCAAAACCTCTCTTTGTGGGCTTGGTATGCTGTTATTTCCTGTCGAGTTTGTTGCAACCATCTATAGATGTTCACGTTGTGCATTATTCGAGCACCATGCATTGGTGTGCCTTTTGTGATCTAACTGCGTCCTTACTGCGGCAGGAACGAGATGCTGCATTGACAGAAGCTGCGGAGGACCTTGCAAGGGATGAGATGATATTTGCAGAGAAGGTCAGGTCATTCTTCACCTTGGGTGTCCTCCTGTCTTGAGAAATGTCCGAGGCATCATAATGTGAACTTTCCTTCTGGCAAGATTCTTACGCCTGGCTGGTCCTGCCCGGCCAGGCACCCGAGTGTAACGCCCAGAGGGGTCTGAGGCCTGGGGTACCCGGGCGTGCAAAAAAAAAAAAAAAAAAAAAAAAAAGGTTTTCTGCCCTCCAGAAGACCCCAACCCTCAGCCAAAATTCGTTAGTAAACTTTGTGTTGCAATTCTACGCGACTTTTTTCTTTTTTTTGCGCTGGGGCTGCCCGGGGGTCATGCCCGCCCAGGCACCTGGGGTGTACCCGGGCGTAAGTTGGGTGCCCTGGTGCCCGGACAAACAGCCTAGCTTTCTGCAGTAACCCATCTCTGCAGCAGTCTGGGCCCTCGAAACGGAGCCGACGACGCAGGCCAAATTCGGCCTGCACCAGGCAGTGTGACCACACACTGCCCTTGGGAAGTCAGAAGTCTGAGTCAACTGTCAGGTCAAAGGTACCCGCCCAGGCCCTTGGTTGGATACACTCACTTGTTTTGCGCAGGTACCCAGACAGCATCAAGGCCAGAAGGAATTCGGTTTCAGGCCAATCTGGGCCATCTTTTGCATTGAGATCTGGACGGCTGAGGGATGCAGCATACGGGGTCCAGACCCCGCGTCAACGCTACATAAGCGCTGACTTCCTGACTTTGACATTCATTCAGTCTTGCGTCAATGCTGACTTCACGTGTTGACAACGGCGTTGGCTCGACGCTGCGACGCTGGTTGGATGCTGGCTTTGTGCTGGCACTTGGGTGATTACGGCGACGCGATGCTGGCTCAACATGGTGGCTGCCTTGTTATTGTCTTCTGGGCATGCTGACGTGGCAGCTGCCACGCGTTGCTATTGACGTGGCGGCTGCCATGTGTACTGTTGCTGACGCGGCTGGGCTATGTGACTGGCACTACTGTTCTGATTCATCGTTACCTAGAGATCATGACTGTGGGGTAATCGTGGACACATACCTGGTCATCTTGAGGTCGACATTGCTCCAGTGTGCTGATGAGGACTGATTGACGTGCCACGTGGCACATTGTAATAGGACTTAGATGTGCGTTCAGACTATTGATTATTTGAGGTGGTGATCAAGGAGGAAGCCCGAAGCAGGAGGGGGCATTGTCTCCCTACTCTCTAAGTCCGATTTCCCTCCTCTCCCCTTCGTCTGTGTACGATTCTCCCATCTCATTATTTATGGACACGATTATGATTATTGGTAATCATCAGCAGGTTGACATTCATCTGGGCTTGCATTCTTGACAAGTGTCTTCACGATCTGGGTTCATTGCACTTTGGTATCAGATCATAGTCCTGACGTGGACAACAATGAAGGAGGTCGGTGTTGCTGACGTGGCACGGACTTCGCTGGCGAGAAGACCAGATCCCGACGCGACTATTGACGTGGCAGTTGGGATCGCGATCAAGAGTGACCGCGCGCCAACCAGGATCGCAATAGTGAGGCGGCATTGTGATCCCACGCTGACGCGGCATATCAGGTGCCATGTCTAGAGACTTGGTTGCGCGAGATAGGCTGACGAGGCATTCTCATGCTGCATTAGCAGCTGAGGCACGACCAAGTCTGGTACTGATGCTGACGTGGCCTTTGGACATCAAGGCTGGTTGCTGACGTGGCAGGCAGGTGTCGTACACGATTGTCGTCTAACGTGGCGAGCCTGTTGATGTGGCATTGGCTCCATAGGCTGACATGGCATTGACTTGATTGACTGAAGCAGCAACGGTATCACACCAAAACTCGAGGAAGCGGCAAGTGGGAAGGACCAGAGCACACATTTGCTGGCGTGGCATCCCACCACTGATTGATTGGACATTGATGTGCTGAGGTGGCAGATCTGCTATGTTGCCATGACAGGGATGACACGTGGCAGGCAGGTGGCTGCCAAGTAAGAGCTGCACCTTGAAGACGAAGGTGGTACGACTGATTGAACAGTTGACTGGACAGCTGTAGTGCCAGCTGTCAAGAGGGGTGCGGTATCGCATTGACACCAGGAACGACGCAGAGAAAAGAAGAAGAAGATTGCTGACAAATTGTTTTGCTGATTGATGTTGGCATACTTACCTGTCGTTTGCTGTGTTGTGGTGCGGTGTGTACTTGTGTGTTTTATCTGCTCACACAGGCCTGAGGTGGTACCTGTACACTCTTGATTAGAACGTCATCACACAGACAGACAAAGAACATCAGTAGTTAGAAATAGAAATAATTGTATTTATTTTCTTTTTCGGTTGTTTGTGCAAGGAACATGAATATGGACGAAGCACAGAAATCCAGATTGCAAAATCACACTAAAGTCCAAGTAGCCAAAGCAAGAGCAGATAGCACAATGGAACCGAGTAACCATCCATTTGAGAACGATACAGAAGAACCGTGAGTCAATGTCCAAGCCCAACAGGGCAACACCAACAACATAACCCAATGTAGCTCTCTCTCTTGAATGGCGCCAGGCGCCCTACCTACTCTACAGCCTAATACTACAACTACAATATGAAAGCAACCAGACAACTTGACGACCAGCGAGTGGTGATGTCAACACCAATGCCAACCTCCACCTCCACCAGGTACGTCTCCTCCTTCACCCACACTCTCCCTTGTTATCCCACACAGCGCCCTTCACCTCCGAAGAACCACCTTCGCCCTCACCTCCCCTGCGCCCTTAGGCAGCCCGGCTATGGCCGCCAGCGCCCTGTGCACAGGCAGCGCCCTACCGCCTAGTGCCTGCCTGTCTGGCACCTCAGCCTAGTGCAGCGCAGCAGCTCGCATTTGCGCAGCATGCTGGCATTGCCCGCTATGGCCAAGATCCCTGCCCACTCGCCTGCTTGCCTATATGCCAGTGTCGCGTGTGGGCGGCCTCTCTTCAGCCTGCGTCTGGGCCCCAGTGCCAGAACCCAGGCCCGATGCAGTTGAGGCCCGGGGGATGCAGTTGCGCCTCTTTCGTCAAGGCCTGCAGCCAGATTCAGATAGTGGGCCCATTTCCCTTTGGCATTTTCGGCCTCTATACCCAGCATGCATTGTCGGCCTCACGTTCAAGTGCCCAGGGCCTAACTAACTCAGGGGCCCTGGGATTTCCACATTCGCAGATCCGAGACTCGGTGCACTCCAACCAACTGGCGTGCTGCAACTGTATGGACCCCCACTAAGTGAAATGTTTGCATAGAGGGCTCTTGTTGATTTGCTGGCCCGCCTTCACTTAGGGCGGGGACTAGGCTTGCTGGGGCCTTAGCCCAGAACATGTTCATCATGGCAAGGCCCCTTCTTGAGGGCTCAATCCTCACATTTGAAATTCTTGCTGTTGTAGAATAGAGCGGCCGTGGAATTTATTATTGTTATTTGATTATTTATTGTGCGGCAGACGCACATCACGATGTTTCTCTTCTCGAATTGTTTGAAATTATCGGTGCTTACTCGATTTATTCCCTTTCTCTTCTATCCAGTCTCACTCATCTTCGGCATTGATGAGGAGACCCCTGATCCCCGAACCAGGCATCAAGTGGACGAGTGGAAGAAGGTTTTGAACATCCGCTTGGACCAACTTATGTTTGACCTTCGTGTCGCAGGTGTCGAAGCCAAAACAGGTTGGACTTGAAGGAAGTTGAGCATACGTGCAAGACAGGTTGGACTTGAAGGAAGTACGAGCTGCTATCGAACAGGCCAAAACAGGCACCGACGTCCTACAGATTCAGGATGTACTAATCACGAGTCGACAGGCAGTTGACAAGTATATCATTGAGCAGTTTGGAAAGATTGTAGACCGTAAAGAGGAGAGAGAAATAATTGTGTCTGAAGAAATTGTGGATGAAAATATCAGACAAGTAGAGGAAGCACTTGAGGAGGAGAAGAAAAGGAGAAAAGAATTGAGAAAGAAAAAGAGTGAACAGCAAGAGCAGAAAATCCAAGAGATCAGACAAATTGTTATCAAGACCGAAGGAGAGGATCAGATAATTTATTTGGCTCAACTTGTGACCTACCTAGCTCACCTTGAGATAAAAATTGATCAGTACGGGGAGCAGATGCAGGCACAAATTGATGTTGTGGCCACGGGACTATAGACAATCACAAATCTGGTCAAAGGAAAGCACCAGGTGGTTGAGGAAGTCGAAACAAAAACAGAAGAAAAACCAAAGAAATTAATGGGAGATGCCATGAAGTCTCTTAAACCACCATTTCACCCAGACCTGTTTTTTTTCCCAAACGATTTCTTTTGCCGAGCCTGAAAGCGAGGGGGTACCGGCGTCGTTGAAGAATGATGTGCTGGACCTGCTGCCAGCAAATGGAACAGAAAGCAGGCCATATGCAGTTTTTCTTTTTCCATTTTGTATCTCGTTCTTTACTTGGCACGCCAGCCAGGCCTAAGAAAAAAGGAGAAAAAAGGGGGAAAAAAAAAAGAAGAGAAGGAAAAGAGAAAGAACAGGGCTACGCAGCTCAAGGCATACTCAGACTACACCGCTCTGGATGGATCTGCCTGCAAGCATGTTCACACGTATAGGACTTCCATGGATGTATCTGTCAGGAGCCGCGCCCAGGTTCAGGGCATACTTGCAGTGGGACGTCTTGATTCGACTTGGACGTGATTGCGGTCAGATGCATGCATCATACGTCGCAACCGAGGTTGGATACATCGAGGAAAGTCCCAGCATGAGTATACTCTTAGTCAAGAAACGCGTATTGCAAAAAAAAAAAAAAAAAAAAAACCTATTGTAGCGGGAGTGCCCCTCGACAATCGAATCATCCGAAATATGGCAGGACGCCAAAATCGCCTTCTGGTGTGGTCCGTACCGACAGCCTAATGGAACATTTTCGAATAGAGGGGGATGCGTCTTCCACGGGAACGTGAGAAAATTCACCCGCCACAAGTTTTGTCATTTTCGCATCTGCCGAGATGAGGCAAACATAAGTAGCACGGCAGGCGCGTTTTGGAATTGGCGTG